CCTCACCTTCCACTTCCATATAACAGTAGGTAGTCAGATTATCAAATGTCTTCTTCTCCACAAACAATGACAACTTGGTCATTCACAATGAACTTTAGGCGTTGATGAAGAGTAGATGTCACAGCTCCTGCTACATGGATCCATGGATGACCCAAAAGGCAAGTATAGGATGGACGTATGTCCATAACATAGAATGACAAATAGAAAGTGTGGGGACCAATCTTGATAGGTAAGTTCACTTCTCCATCCACAGATCTTCTCGAACCATCAAACGCTCGAACATTTAGAATGGAAAGCCTCATCATTACTCCATCCATATTCAGCTTAAACAAAGTAGCCTTAGGCATCACATTGAGTGAAGAACCTGTATCCACCAAAACTCGAGATAAAACAGTGTCCAAACACTTCATAGAAATATGCAACGCTTTATTGTGGGCTCTGCCTTCAACTGGGAGTTCATCATCACAGAAACCCAAACAATTTCCCACAACAATATTGGTGACGATTCCTTCAAACTAGGCCACAGAGATGTCTTGGGTAACATGAGCGGAACATAAAATCTTCAATAAGGCATTGCGGTGGGTCTCTGAACACAAAAGGAGAGACAAGATGGAAATCTTGGATGACGTCTGGTTGAGTTGATCCACTATTTTGTAATCACTCCGCTTGAGAATTCTCAAAAGCTGCTCCGCTTCTTGTCCTACAGAAGGTTCGGGTTGATTATCCATCACTTACTTTCCCTTGGCCTTAGCTAGAGCTTCACTGTTAGTTTCCTTAGGAGGCGGTGATGGAGGAGAAAAGATCTGACCACTGCGAGTCATGTTACTGGTTCCTACAATGTTGGTAACATTCTTGTCAACAACTGGAGGACACTCATACTTCTTTCCATGAATATAGACCACATTATACTCCCACGAAACTGCCTTCGAGTCGTTTCTTGTAGGAGGAATATGAGCTTGAATCGTTGCGGGAGCTTGAATCATTAATGGGGTAGTAGGAACCTGAATTGTTAACGAAATACTTGGGGTTGCTGAAAAGCTTCTCGGATAGTAGGGGATTTCCAGTACATCAATCTCTTCTTCTCGGAATATTTTATCTATTTGTAGGACACCTTCATCGATCAACTGTTGGATATCCGTCTTCAAACCAGTACACTCTTCAGGTTTAGAGGAACATGTTAAGCACAAGTCATGAAGTTCTTGTAGCACCTCGTGCTTCAAAAAATGTTCCCTGACAGTTTCCAATGATATATTAATCTCGTCAACCTTGGATACCAAATCCCGTTCACTAATTTATTCAATAGCATTGACCGTTCCCCCTTGATGAGGAGGCATGGGATTATTCTGAATATTCGGACCAACAGGGTTGTAGTTTATGGCCTTTGCATTAATGAGGTCTTGAACTTTACATTTGAATGCTCCACAATTCTCAATTGTATGGCCTGGGGCACCAGAATGAAATTCACAATGAGCATTAATGTCATACCCCCTAGGGAGAGGATTTGGCGGTGGACCAAGTTCACGTAATTGAACCAATTGACTAGCAGGTAATTGTGGGAGAAGCTGAGCGTAAGACATAGGAATGAGATCAAATCTTCTTTCAGGCGCTCTTTGTCTTTGAGGAGCTCTCGGACCTTGAGGTTGTTGATTCTATTGTTGATAAGTTGGAGGAGGTGCAAATTGTTGTTGTAAAACATAGTGTGATTGCAGAGTGAAAGACTGTTGTTGGGCCATCCAGGGTGCTGGATTTGTAGCAACGTATACTTGAGGAACAAATTGGTTGGGAACAGCAGCAGGTGTAGGAAAATAAGGAAATCGGACTTGAGGAAATGCAGGAGCTTTTCCTTGGTTAATGGTGATAGCACTAGTCTCACCTTCTTTTTTCTTGACAAAACCAGAAAATGGCTTTCTACCAATGCTTTCGTTGTTGATATTATTGTTGGGGACACCTTGGATCGTTCCGGCCTTAATACAAGTCTCAACGCGTTCACCAATAATGACCATATCAGAGAAAGGAGTAGAGGTACTACTGAGCATATGCTGGAGATAAGGGCCTCGTAGAGTACCCATAAACAGATCAATCAATTCACGATCCAAGAGAGGAGGTTGGACCCTTGCAGCCAGTTCACGCCACCTCTGAGCATACTCTTTGAATGACTCTTCAGACTTTTCTATCATCCCTTGGAGTTGAGTACGGCCAGGAGCCATGGCAGTATTGTAATGGTAATGTTTCAAAAAAGCGTTAGCAAGTTCTCCCCAAGTACTGACATGATATCTTTCCAATTGCATATACCAATCCAATGGTGCCCCAGTCAAGCTATCTTGAAAGAAGTGCATGAGTAATGGTTCATTTTCAGCATAGGCAGCCATTTTGCGACAGTAGGAACGGAGATGAGTCTTTGGGAAAGAAGTGCCTTTGTATTTTTCGAAATCCAGAAATTTGAATTTGGGAGGAATAACTACCCCAGGAACGAGGCACATTGCAGCAGTATTGAATCCAGAAGCCTTGATAACCTCCATGGCTCTAAGACGCTCTTCGAGAGCATGATACATTTTCGCAGTTTCGGAAACTCCGGCAGCAAGGTTCACTTGGGGTTCATCAAGATCAATAACATCATGATGATCGTCAAAATCATTCCTAGGAGCACCGGTAGGAGTCTCAACATTTTCATTGTCATTCCTCCCATTAGCAGAAGTGGAGGGAGCGGAAGTAGCGAGCTTGGCAACAGTTTGATGTAATTCTTCTTGACCCTTGATCACAACATGAAGGGTTTCCATAAGCTGATCCATGCGAGTGCCCATGGTGTCAATATCTCGGCGGAGTGCGTTATGATTCTCTTCAAAAAGATCCATTAGCCTTCGTTGATTGCCTCTAGTACGGTAAGGATGTGGAGAAGTCGTCTTTGTTGTTTACTGAAGTCTGTCGGAAAAGGGACCCCAATGAGTTTTTGTTGTGAAAAATGAATGCATGGTAGTATGGATGAATGCTTTATCTTCATTTCTGAGGAGACTCAAAGACTCGTCTATCTTTTAAAATTTTCCCTTTTTTTGAAAAGCTACATCAACGAGACTTGTCTTTGGATTTCCCTAGATATGAGATATATATACATGATGATATGATGTCATGGTATGCTACGACATGAAGTCTCAGCTCCACATATTCTGTATAACCACTGCGTAGTCCATTGCACAGGCTATAAAGTAACAGGATCAAAAGTCCGACGTCACAGGAATGAAGTCAAAATAACCACCCATGAGGTATGTACTAGGGGTTTATCACCTACCGAACAAGGTTCTAAAGAGTTCTCGAAGTCTATGCTCTTCCTTTGGATATTACCGATGTCCCAATTACTTTGTAATTAGTAATATTCACAGGAAAAACTCGTCTGAGTGCAATATCGCGTGACAACTACTTCCGGATTACTTCATTAAAGTCTCCGCACTGCACCTAAAAAGATAGGATGGGTTAATGGTTCTACGACCCTCAGCTTCTCGAGTTCCCAGGTCGAAAGCAACGACGTCTTCCCGATTACTCGGTAAACATCACTACTTTCAAGGGGACCTCCACTGAGTGGGGGATTTTCATGCCTCTTTCTTCGGGATTACTCCCTCAAAGTTAACATGACTATACCTCCCGTCCTAATCCTATGTGTAACCCAAGTCCGGGTATAGGATTTATCAAATGTAATCACCAAACCCAACATCACAATGTATCCAGAATATGTGAGTAGCAATAATATATGCAATATATACAAAAGAATAAAGCAATAATAAAACAGTAAAGAAAAATAAAGCAAATAAATAAACACTCAAAAATACAAATAAACAAAACTAGGAGAGACTCGCAAAAGGTATTCCCCAGCAGAGTCGCCAGCTGAAGCTACCGGCAGAAAACACAGAGCTGCCACCGAACTTTATTTATCCTGAAGGAAGGGGAAATATCGATAAAACCACAAGGGGATGGATAAGATGGTCTTGCGACCAAGAGAAGGGGTAAGGGAGTCGGTTATGCGAGGGGAAGGTATTAGCATCCCTCACGTTTGTTGTACTCAATGAGATCCATTTTGTTTGCTTGTCTTAAAGGGTGTATTTATCTACAACTATACTTGCTTAAGGGGAAAAGATGGTTTTTTATTATTGCGTTCGTGAGGGTTTCACGACCCTTTGCCTACGTATCCAATGAAGGAATCAGAACACCGTAGTTCCTCTAGAAAATGGTTTGTTTGTTTGTTTGTGTTTTTTAGTGGGCGACGCTAACGCACGCATTCTAGCAATAGGTACGGTCGGTATCACGGTATAACAAAGATAACATGCCCTTTTGGGGAGTCTCGATTGGTTAAGTGTTTTGCAGGTTTTAAAATAAATTCAAGTAATGATTAAGATTTTTTGGATTTTTGATTTGTGAATGATAAGTCTTAATGACAAAAGAAGAAAAGGGTAAGAGGGAAACTAGAAAAGCCCTAATGGTTTGTTATGTAAAGTGACGGACCTAATGTTGAGTATTTGAAAGGAGAAAGTCTACCTAAAATGTCTATCATGCATAGGTCAATCCTAAAGTCTAACTCAACACAAAATGATCAAATGAATTTAATCGCTTCATGTAATCACTAAAAGGAACATGTTATCAAGAATTAATCAAGCAATCAAACAAAACAAAAAGTAACAGAAATACAAAGCTGATATTTTTGTGAGTAAAGAAATGTGACTAAACGAAAATAACTAAAATGATTAACTTACTAAAACAAATATTAGAATAAATTCACAAAGAGTTCTAAATTAATTTTAAAGCTAAACTAATTAATAGAAATCATCTAATTAACCTAAAACATGATTATTTAATTAATTTTACTAACAAAACTGAATTGATAAATAACAAAACTAAGAAAATTAGTGAAAGAAATAAAAATGAACTTAATTAGAACACGGGTGTAAAGCAAAAAAGTAAAGTGAGTATACTGAATTACGCTGGGCTAGGAGCTGCTTGACCAAGTAAATCCCAAGATGGAAACAAAAATAAGCTGTAAAAAAAATAACCCCCATGGACTTGGACCGGGTCAGGCTGGACCCGAATTCGACCAGCTCAAACAAAACAACAAGGTTCGAAAACCCTAGTTGAAAGCAAACGACCCCCCTTTATAATCCGAGCTCACTCCCTTGTCTATCCCTCATTCATCTCCCTCACTGCTATTTCACTTCCACGCAAAACGACGATAACCAAAACTCTAAATCTCAAACCACTCTCTCAGTTCTTTGCTTGCTTAACCTTATTTCTCTCAATTTTTGTCTCTTCCGATTCAACAACAATGACTATATCATTCTCGATTTCCTACAACAACAACATACTTCCTCCGATCCCTTCTCGATTCTCCTCTCAATCTTGTTTCTATTCGCCTCTATTTCTATATTCGGATTGATACCACCGACTACAATAATAAATCAAACATGGCGTAAAACTCAAGTACCAAAAATTCAGCAATAAAAATGAAAACAATCAAACATAAACATGCATCACAACATGTCCTAATCCTTGAATAAAAAGTGTGAATTGGAACAGAAAAAAAATATGGCAAGAAATTTTTGGAAATAAACGAAGAAAGAGTTATCCGAATCTGGATTTGTATCGACGAGAAAGCGATTTTCTCGGTGAAGATTCGTGGTAAGTTTCCTCCTCTGCTTCGTTTTTGTTCTCTACTTTTCCTTCTCTATAAAATTCAAGCTTGATTGGGTTGTCGGTGTTGAGAAATTGTTAATGTTGTGTTGCAGGTATGTTGTGAGTTATTATTGTGAATCTTTCTCTATTGTGCTGAATTTGTGAGTTTTGAATTTGCAGATTGATGAAGGGAGTTATGAAGGTTTAATGGAGATTTTACGTGAAGTGAGTGGAGGAAGTCTTGACAATTTTTTTTTGCAGCTATTGTCAATGAAAGTTGAAGAAGAATGTAAGGGAGGAGTTTTGATAGAAGTTCTTTATGAGATTTCTTGGTGTTTTTTTTTCCAGCTTGTAGTTGGTGTTTTCTCCCCCTTTTTTTCCAATGAAACAATGGTCCTCTTTATAATGAGATAAGGGGTGGAATTGGATGGAAAATTTGTGATCCAAACATAATTGGTTTGCTGACTTTATGACCTTTAGGATGCAGGTTTTGGGTTTGCCTATATCAGTGCAAATTTTGGCCTGCTCTGTTTGGTGTTTGTGTGCAGGTGTGGCACAGGTTTTGCAGCAAAGTACAAAGCTGACTTATGCACAGGGTGACATCTCTCTAAACCTGTCTCTTTTCCTCTTCATCTTTCTGTGATGCAAGTAGTTTGCTTTTTTTTTCTAAATTTCTGAAGGGTTTGTATATTTTGGAAAGTGATGATGTAGGGCTATGGGCATGCTTGTTAGCCTGCTATTTTTTGAATTGTTGTTGTGCTATTTTTCTACTTTGCTTTGGGTTGCTGTTTTATTGCAGTTGTTTTGATTTGCTTCCTTGGTTTTATATTTCTGGCTGCCTACTATTTTGGTTTGATCGCAGCTGTTAGCTGCTTTTGTGCTGTATTTTATTGCAGCTGCTGCTATTCGTTCTATTATGGTTTGGCAGCTCTAGGCTGTTTTGGCTGTTTGCTTTAGTTTGGTAGCTTGGCTGTTTTGTATTTACTGCTTGTTTAGCAGTTCTGCTACTTGTTTTGCTACTTATTTTGCTGCTTGTTTAGCTAGCTGTTTGTGGCAGCTTTGTGCTTTGCTTTAGCAACAAGAAAACGTTTGAAATTTTTCCTTTTCTCTTTTTTATGAACCAAAGAGGACAACTTTTTTGTGATTTAAAATTGGGGGAAAATAGCCCATGATTAAAAATAAACCCCTTTTAATCTCTGATTCTAAATACCAACCCTTATGATGAGCATTTTTTATTAGCAAATAATTCTTGCTTGGAATTTTATTGAGATATCAATGTTAGCTAACTTTTTCCCTTTCTTGTTTCATGAACACGAGGAGTGGATGGCAAGTGAGGCAAGGTTAAAACCGTGGCATTTCTTGGAGGAGTTTGGAGGGAGATTTGAGAAGAGTCTTGAAGAATTATATAGTCCATAGGATAACTTCATTAGCTTAGGAGTCCTCTTTGAACTTGTGAATTGTAAAAAGCATTAGGACTTGTAATTAGAATGCTTACAACAAACTTTTTAGAGAAATGATGTATTTGAATCTGTAAGTTTATTGCTACATCTTGTAAACTTGTAAGCTAGCCAATTCAAAAATGGAATTTGTGATACAAACCTTTTTCAAAGTGTTTGCAAAACAAGCTACATCTTGAATTAAATCCAATGAAACAAATGAAATTCTTCAATCTTTGATCTTAAAGACGCCTTCTTCAAATGGGCTAGACAACCTTAACAAATTTGAACCAAAATGAACACTCAAATGAATTTCGAATGAATGAATATTCTTCACAACTTGAATTAGAACTAAATCTTGCAAAGGTCTTGTAACTTGTGACTTATCCTCTAAGCAATCTAAATCCATTTGATAAACCTTCCACCGTAACTTTGATTTTAGAAATCCAAGCTACCTTGCTATCGAAGTGACAAACGATAACAATGCCATGACCACAATACAAATAGGCAACATCATCCTTGTATCATTATTTAAACTTTGAAATTCAATCATAACTCATAAGACCCTCCTGTGAAACCAAAAACAAACCCTAGTATCTCGGTGCTCTCGAAGGAACCTTGTAGTGACCTCAAAAATCCATCCCACGATCCACTAACCGAGAACTAAATGCATTTCCCTTTTACCTGATAAGAGAACTTCAAAACAAAATTTAGACATAAAGAGGGCGCAACCCTAATACCTCAAACCAAAGCGCCTGATTCCATGAGACGCGGGATATGCAAATGACTGAGTGAAAATGGTGCAAATGGAATACAAAGTTCAAAGCCAAACAAAAATAAAAGAGGTAGGGAAATTTTGGGGTACGACAGGGGGTTCTTATAAACCGATGGTACCACATGCATTGATTCGGTGTTGTTGAGTCTCATTGCATTGCATATTGGTGGTGTATTCTATATGTGTTAGCATGTGATTATAAGTTTATGTTATATTTGTTAGCATGCGATTATATGTGTATGATATATGTGTTAGTATGTTATCTGTTTATATTATTGGTGTGGTGTTGTTGCATTGTATGGGTGTGATATGTTGTGCTTGTAATTATCTATTGTTCACTTATTATTATACATTCCATTATATAGTTATGATATCTCACCTTACTGTTTGAATATTTCCTCTACATGGGTAATGTGTAAATACTCAAGAGTAGTTCAACATTGGATTGAGTGGAAGATGGAGTCTTCCTTTTATTTTCATTAGAGTCGATGTCTGCTCTGATATGTAGGGGGTGAACGCTTAATTGTTATTCTATGTGTAATACCGTGGGAGAACTGACTTAGTTTTGCGTTTTATCGCAAATGTTGCAGATAGCAAGAGTTGCCACCGACTTTTCTTTTATCCAATAAGGAAAGGGTGAAAAGAACAGGAAAGACCGTCGATATATTTTCTTAGTTCGGGGGGTAGGTTATGAAAAGGGAAGGTGTTAGCATCCTTTTCATCCGTAGTTATCTACGGGCTCTTAATCGTTAGCTCACTTTATTTTAAAATGCTTTTGTGTATGTTTGAAAATATTTTGAAAATGTCTAAGTTTGGCAACTTCGTAATGATCCTCGTATCAGTTGAGAACGCATACAAAGTGTTTGTTTTTGAAAATATTTCAGAAAAGTGTTTGTGGAAAAAAAAATTTGTGAGCAAGCGATTATGAGCTATCTACCTACTCAAATATCTTTCGTGTTATTTTCCTCCTCCTTAGATAGTGTCATCCTACCATTAGTTAGTAGGAAGCCCTGTCGTTGGATGTGTAGGGACAGTCACGGGTCATTGCACAGTCATAAAGGCAACTTGTAGGGGCGCTTTAGCAATTTTATCGTAAGGGACTAAGATCGTTTACCAAAGACAGCATCGAAGGGTCATCGAGGGACTACGATCTTTTTAATCGAGGGTCTTTGCTAAAGTGTCCCCACGCTTGAGGGACATGACTATTTTTCTTTGAAGGCAACCAGTGAGGTTACCCTAGAGGTGAGTGTGTGAATAATGATTCGATTCATTTATTTAATCTTGTAGTTAGGGTTAGCTATATTCATTTGTATGTCTTGTAATACATGCCCTAATAACTAGCAGTTATAAGGAAAATAGTAAAGGCAGAAATTAAAAGTCATATGTTTATTACAAAGCTTCGGGGAAGGGGGTACACAACCACACAGTCGAGGATAAAGAAAGCAAATAAAACCCTAATTAAAACTATTACAACCGTTTAGCATTTACATAATCGGGAAAAATACTAAATGCGAAAATCATAAAGCGCACGAAGCGGTAAAAATGAAAAGAAACAGAGAAATTGTTTGATGAAAAATAATTGACGATTTATCCTAAAACCTAATTGATTTAAAAAGGTTAAGTGATTAAATTTAGCAAACCCTAAAGTCTAGGTTGATTTTAATTTAATTGAGAAAACCTAAAAAATCAAATTAGGGTTTATTAATAAAAACCTAAGACTAAATTAAGGTTAATTTTTTTTGTCTTTTTAATCTTTTTGATTTATGACAAAGGGGGAGAAAGTGATATGATTTTGATATATCTATTCTCAGAATCTGTTCCCAAACATTATATAATGTTTTTGCCACTAACGTTGTTTGACTCAAGAACTTTGAGAAAGTTCACTAAATTTTCTTAACAGACAAACTCAGAAGCTCTGAAGGTGATTCAGAAGCTCGAGATTCATAAGTCATGAGTTGTAAAGTTTTTGCAAGAAGAAAATTCAACTAGACTCTAATGGTATATCAAGAATTTTATACAAGGCTTGAATACAATCAAGCTCTGATACTGTCAACCAGACTCTGATGATGATGTGACAAAGTCCAAAGACTTTGTACACCATATTATTCTGAAAGTATGGTCAGAATCTGAGATGAAGATTTATGCAACACTTTTCATACTCTGGTGGTAAACTAGGTCAGATATCTCATCAAACTATGATAGTAAACCAGAATCTGAGATGAATATTTCTGCATCGTAGTTAGAAGTGTGATAGGTCTTCAATCAGGGAATTATTCCTTCGTTCCGATTGTTTTGGTGCTATTTCTCAAAACTTCTTTAAGTCATGAACTCAGGAGGAGACTCTGAACAAGATTAAACCAGTTCTGGGAATATAGAACTCAAGGGGAGCTTCTTAGCTATCTCTGAAAAAGGTTTTATGTGATTAAACCGATATAAATTATTTATCAAAATACATGGTTTTGTCATCATCAAAAAGGGGGAGATTGTAAGAACAAGAGTTGGTTTTGCATCAGGCCTTGAGTTTTGATGATAACATTAAATGGGTTATTAGATAACAATTTAGTATCCTAATGGTTTATTTAGTGTGTAGATTTTGCTAACAGGTTCTGACTCTGAAGTATTAATGTGTGATGTCATCGAATTCTGGACTCAACACATTAAAGAATGCTAGTTTGTGTTTCATAACTTAGAATGCGTATTAAAACAATAATTCTGATATAATGTTAGTTTTATTGCTTCTAACTATGACTCTTTAGTAGAGCTTATGATATGTTCTCAAGTTGTGGATTCCAAGTTCTCTTGCCCAAGTTTTGAAGATTCTGAAGACAAGGTTCTATTGAACGAGTTCTGAAGATTTTGAAGACCAATGGTTCTCTAGACCAACTTTTGAAGACTCTGAAGACAAGGCTTTGTTGAACGAAGTTCTGAACACTCTAAAGAAAAGGTTATGAAGAATCTAAAGACCAAGTGTTGAAGACTCTGAAGATAAGGTTCAAATTGAACAAGTTTAGAAGACTCTGATGACATGGTTTTGGAGACTTAGTTTTGATCCTTCTATGCATGCTTCAACCATTATACATTCAGAAACCTCTGAAGATTAGAAGATAATATTAAAAGGTTTCACGTGAGTAATAGTATAAGGTACAACATCACCTCGCCTCCATTACGCTGTTTTTGTGGCGCAGGGACAATACTTGTGTACTAGGTTGTCTACCACTCTCTCATTGACCATTGCAACAAGACAAATAAAATTTTTCTATTCCTATTCTACCCTCCAACGAAGTTCTTTTCATCTATAAAAGTAAGACTTGGAAGAATTGGAATTGTTGAAGAACTTTGAAGAATCTCACGCTTATTCAAGTTGCTGAAACGCTGCCAAAATAACTGCA